GCGGCGTGCGCGCCGGCCGAGCGCGCGCGCGCGCAGCGCTGCGTGGACCTGCTGCTGCTGTTCGTGGCGGAGCCCCCGCGGCCGCGCTGCGTGCGCGAGGAGCCGCAGCGCTGGCGCGGGCTGCTGGGGGGCCGCGTGTTCGGCTGGCTGCGGGGGGTGTCCCCGCCCCCCCTCCTGCTGCAGGCCCTGCGCAGCCTGGCGCGCTCCGGCCCGGACCAGATCAGCACGCTGCCGGTCTTCCTGCAGCCGCAGCTGGGCCGGTGACGGCATCCGTTGCCCTGGAAACTGCCGCCAAGGTGGCCGGGGTGCTGTAGATACACGTGTAAATAGACTTTCAGGAGCTGAGCAGAAGCTGAGGGGAACACAGTTTGTTCTCTTAAAAAAACCTTTCCGAGCCAAATGGCAGAAAGAGACTGCCAGAGAATCCCCGCTGAGCTCCGGACTTGTCGGCTCCGGCTAAACGTACAGCCGGACAGTCCACTGGACGTCACGTGACGGCCCTCTTTGGTCTCCTCATGTCTGCAGGAACCCGGCGTTTCTGTTGAATAAAGTGGTTTTGAAGAAGTGTGGTCTGTGTCTCTGTACCTGCATGTGCGAGGCGCTCTTCCACAATTCCAGACTTTACACGCTGAGGGGGTAAGAAGGCATGATTCTGTGTTTAAATATCTTTATTGATTCAATAAGAGCGTTTACAGTGAATCTATCTGATCAAACATCCGGCTCACGCCTCAGTTTCCTGTAGAAACACCGCAGAGTGGGATGTGTTTCTGTCCTTTCGATGTACACAAAGATCTAATCCCTACCAATGCGTCTCCAGGCTGCCATCAGGTCCAGATCCAGATCCAGGTCCAGGTCCAGGTCTTGATAGAGAGTTTGTCATTTTTCTTCATCAAACAAGAGATGACGGGTTAGTTTGACTGAACGATTAAGTCCCAACCGGCGCCATAAATCACACAAAGAAGTGAGTGGACCTTTTAGTTTTAGTATATCTGAGTCTTAACGTGTGCTCTTATTAGATCATACCCCGTAAGATATAAGCTCAGGGCAGATCTGGAGGGTTATCCCGTCGGTTTGATCGACGCAGAGAGGGGGAAACTACTGGAGAGTGAGTCGGAGAGGCAGAATGATGTCATTTCATTAAGCTAAAAAAAGTCCCTTTGAAATAGTATTAAATGAAACTAAAATCCCAGCAGTAAACAAGCCGATATCTCAGCATTCAATGTCCTCCCGCGGAACCAAAGAGAACCTGGCTGAGAAAAAAGCCCCTCGGGATACAGTGTTTACACATGAGGCATGAACTGAACAACTCCCTTCTGAAACCCTGCAGCCGTAAAACTAGCGAGCTGTCCGCAGCCTGAACAGGACAGGTAGAAATATTAGCAGAGTTACAGCCAACGAGAAGCTGTCTGGACCTCTCAGAAACCAGTCTCACTTTGCATGGGTTCCTCCCCGCCTTTAACGGTTAAAGTGCTTCCGGTTAATACAAAAATAAAACAAAGTTGACTCGAGTTTCCCTCGTGTGCTTGCCATCGCAGGAAGTGATGTCACCGGCTCGTTTCGGTGAGGATCCAGCTGTGACAGAGGTTCACTCGTAGAAAGTTTTTTTCTCGTGGGGGGACATGGCGGGGGGCTTTTCCAGGGCCAGTCCGGCCACCGGCAAACAGATTTGACGGCGATGGCGGGGCTCAGATCAGCTCCCACTCCTCGTCGATATCGTCCCCTCCGAGGGCGGGGCTGGAGGAGCGGGGCCTGCTGGGAGTCTGGGGGAGGAGCTTGGTCAAGCGGCGGGACAGTCCACCGACGAGGGTCACTGCCCACAACTCGTCCTCCGGGGTAACTGGACAGAGAAGCAGAAGCACCACAGAAGTGATTACCGGCCGCACGCAGCCCTACATAACCGCGCGACAGGCCATAACTCAGTCTAGGCGATATATTGTTACATATGAGGTCCTAACAGAGAGACAAGGGCAAACGGGCCATGACGTCTTCTGATATAGCCTGCTGTCGGCCCTCTGTGGTGGTTCTTGTGTAAGGGTTTACAAGGTTGGACTGTGAGGGAGTCGCTTACATAACTTGTTGAGCCACATGACTCCCTTGTCAATCAGGGAGTGGCGGTCTGCCGTTGGCCCCACTCAGCCCGTTTGGAACCACCGATGAATAGGTTCTAAAGATGTGACTAACTGTAGCTGTACCATCCCCTAGATATGCAGAAAAAAATGAGTGGAACCAAGCCCTGCCGGGTGGATCTTCATTTGGGCCTGATCTCAAAAAGGTTAGGACCAGTCCTCTAACAATTGCCTGCAACATCTGTGGAAACAGTCCAGCATCTGAACTCTTCTCCTTTAGAACGCTAGAAAAGACGCAGCATGTTGCGTAACGAGTCCTACCGAAACACGATGGAGCAGATGTTGTACCTGAGCACCAGATCGGATTTAGTCCATTCTCTGTAAAGCCAAAGAAAGATCTGAGCGCACTCCAGGGCTGTTTGTGATTTCCATGGACAGGATCTGGAGGTGTGGTCAGAGAGGGCCGTGTCTGGTTCGGGAACCTTAGCCCACAGCTCTGCTTTTGGCAGATGATGTGGTCCCACTGGTTTCTTTGCAACATTTAGCTGCCACAATAAAAGTCCAGTGGATGTGGTTCTCAGTGATGGTGAGCGGGGCTTAGTCACCAGTACAGAGGGCACTGCTCCAGATGGAGAAGATTTCAAGTTATGGTTCTAAACTTGTTCCACCAATGCTCATATATCTAAATAGAAACCTAAAGACTGTGGTAGTGTATACAAGAGGCTGAAATGAGTTTCTGAGGAGGGGTGGGCTCAGCCTTACAGCCTTCTACTCCTCAGAACAGACTAGAGCAGCGGTCAGTCTCCGCTTCTTCTGACGCGTGAAGAAAGGGCGGTCCTTCTCACCTGTGAACCAGTTGGCGTTTCCCGGGATCTTCTTCCAGTAATCTCCAGCCGGGTTTCTCTCAGAGATGCCGTAACGTCTGGCCAGTTCTCCGTTCACACAGCGAACCCAGGCGGTCCGGCAGCTGAGGACCAGCTGGCTGACCGCTAGCCCTGCAGACGCACACACACACACACACACAGGTTACACACTTGAGCAAAACTCTGAGACGCGAGACGAGCGCACGTACCGGGAACCAGTTCCCAGCCAGTCCCGACGGGCATTTCGTCGCTGAGACCGGTCCGGACAAAGACGCAGCCCCTGTTGTCCAGAGCCCAGAGGAGCCGGTCGTTTGGACTCGTCTGGATACTGACCAGCTGCACTCCCATTGGCTGTGGTGACATGACATCACAGTGACCCGGACGGGTAGTACAGTACATAACCGAGGCAGATGGCCGCCCACCCTGAGCCATGGTTCTGCTCGAGGTTTCTGCCTGTTAAAAGGAAGTTTTTCCTTCCCTGTGTCGCCTAGTGCTTGCTCATGGTGGGAATTGTTGGGTTTTTGTAATTAACTTCAGAGTAGGGTCTGACCTGCTCTGTTTGGAAAGCGCTGTGAGACGACTGTTGTTGTGATGTGGCGCTATATAAATAAAATTTCAATTGAATTGATATCGTGGGCTGAGATGGAGCGGGTGTTACCTGCACAGGGGGTTCTAAGTGGATCCAGGCCGGCAGCATCATGCTGGGGTTGAGAGGCTGGGTTCCCACCCTAAAGTAGACCACCCCCCGGCTGTCCACCGCCCAGACGTTCTGACTGCCGCAGCTCACGCTGACCAGACGGACGTTTCCTGAAAAAACAGGTGCGCACATTGGTCAACCATTGCTGGTTCCTGTGCTCGTTATCATTAAGTTCGAGACGCTCTGACGAGCTACCGGTCGACCCAAAATGCCGTAAGCAGAGTTCTGAAGCTCCATGAGCAACCTGGACCAGGCCCTGGACTTCCATTAAAGGTTACACTGGGCTATGGTGTTCAGCTGAGACGCACGCATACACACACTAGCTCCCGTCTAGACTACCCCCCTCCAGAAGAAGAGTACCGGTATTTGTCTGAATGAGTCACAACAGCATGTTTGGGGGGGAAGTCTGTCCCTGTGTGCTTTTGTTTTGTTGATCTGGTGTAAATCAGAGGTTCAAATGCATAACGGAATGTTGGTTTAATATCCCTCCAGGTTCCACGACGTATAGGGAACCATTTTTGTTGTGAATCAAAGTGGGTTTCAGTACTTTTTTGTCGTCCTCGGCTGTGCCGGGCCGCACACAGGCCACCTGACGCTGTGTGTGTGTGTGTGTGTGACTGAGCCACTAGAAGCGCTCTATGAGGAAAAACACTTGTTGGTTGATTACGGTAACGGGCGGTCAAATTCTTCCCGTCCAGCAGCAGAGCAACTGTCTCACAGAGGCTGCGGTCAGCGGCGTGTGCTGAAACACTCGGACTGGACAGGCTGTTTCAAATGGTTTTTATTCACATTGACGTGCGTTACCGGGCTGGGACAGACAGTGTTTCTGTGTGTCTGCAGGGTAAGTGAGAACAAGTCACGGAGTCATGTGGTGTCAGATAGTGAGAAGGGCAGAGCGCCTAAAAACAGATCTGACCCACCAGTCAGGTTACAGTATGACACACACGCCCCCCCCCCCACAACAGACACCGACTTACATAACCCGTACGTGTCAGTGTGATGGGGGTACACAGCTGAAACTGTGTGCGTTAATGTCTGGATCAGAGTGTGGAACAATCAGGGGACAGCTGCAGGTCAGGCCTCTGTCCACTCTCAGCCGGGGGAGGGAACACACTTACCGAGGGAATGTGGCCACTAAAGTCCCTTATGTAAACGCATCCTTTGACCAAACTCCAGAACTGGACGGCATGGAGAGCTTCTATCCACTCACATAACGTATTCATTCACTCATTCTTTTGAGCACACAATGATCAATCTGACTTGAGGACACACACGTAACTGTGCGTTTATGGGACAGATGAACAGATTCAGTGATTTTGTCTCATGTTTTTAGGTCATGAAGAAATAGGGTAGACGTGGCAAAGAGGTGGAGATAGTGTGTGTGTGTGTGTGTGTAAAAAACCTGACATATACAACCCCAAACGTCATATTCCACAGTCAAAGGGCATAACACAAATAGAAAAGACGATTAAAAAAAATATGAGAAAAAACCGTGAAAACCAGCAGCAGAGATCAGATTCCTTCAGTTTCAGCTTCTCTTAATTGGCTCCCTATTAGATTCAGAACAGAACCTAAAGTTCAGATAAACTCTGAATGAGCGGCTCTTTGTTCTCAGAATGTAGATTCGGGTTCTGGTTCCTGTAGAACCAGTCTGGGTTCAGGAAGCAGACCCACCTCTACTTTAAAATCAAACGATCAGACTTTCCTTTCTGATAAAGCTGATAGTTACAGATGTGTACACCGTGTGCTTTGATTTGGCCCAGTACATAAAAAAACTGCTTTTCTGAAGAGTTTAAAAGCAATTGTTTTATTGGGGAACGTACCAAGCTGGCTGAGGTCCAGGGGGGTCCAGTGCAGACCGGAGGGACAGGACGGAGACAGCGTCCGAATGCTGACCCGGCCATGGCTGTCCAGACCCCACAGAGCATCGCGGCAGGCCGACAGGTGGGACAACTCCACCTGGACTCAGAGAAGCAGGAGAGAAGTGACCTGTTGTCAACCACCGCAGAACAAGGCACACACACACACACACACACACACACACACACACACACACACACACACACACACGAATGTGCTCCAGAACATTCACCGACACGTTCGTACTTTTGTTTCTTTTCACCGGGAGTCTGCGTGGGGAAATATCCAGATAAAAGTGTGTGTTGAATGTCGGCCTTGTGCGTTCTGACACGACCCGACCCCCAGGTGTGTGTGTGTGTGTGTGTGTGTGTGCGCGTGCACGTGAGAACAGACGCGCTCACCTCGGCTGGGAGGGGGACGGAGGAAGGGCGGAGCTCTCCATCCTGATCCCACACGCAGAACAAATCCTTCCTGCTCTGGGCCAGCCACAGAAACGTGCCT